AATTTAGTCTTCGGCCCCGGGTTTATAGGGTTAAATTTGTGGATATTGGACATTTAAAGTAGTGCTTGCATTTCCATAATTTTATAAAACGAATTCGTTTTCACTGGCTGCCTGTCGTAGCAACACACATATTGACAACAGACTTAACTCCGTTTCGTTGACAATCAGCCATGCATAAACTCTTTCGTTTACGGCTAATTGTCAACGAAACGGAGTTTAGTAATGTATGCAATTTGTTGTAACTTGTTATTGAGCTGAAAATATGAAATTTGAAAATATGAAAAAATGAGGTATTGTACTACATGTCTGACTCAAAAACACCCTCAAAGCCTAGACATGATTGGTACGATAATACTCAGGGTGATAATTTAACTAAAAGATATTCAGAACAAAATTGTTGATAAAAAATATATATTAGGTATATTATTTGTAGTGCCAGGATCAACTTTCTAAGGAGAAATCATTCGAAACTCTCTTGTGGTTCTAGGACACCTACCCCCTGGACAACCACCCCCTGATAACCACCCCTGGAATAACCACCCTCTAGTACAACTACTCCGTAGGGCAACCACCCTCTTGGGCACGGGTGGCCAACCCGCGGCCCGCGAGCTTTTCTGGTGCGGCCCACGGAGCTTTGAAAAAGTAATTATAAAAGTAGCTCATGAATGAAATGCGGCCCGCATAGCAGCGATGGAATAGGGTTAAACATTTAAACACAGCAATCTCTATTTCCCTAATTTGTTTTCATCATTCACAACATATTGAATCGTTGCTTGGTTGATACACAAGTAAAACTCCTCAAATTCCCTCTCATTACATTACATTAACGACATTAATAATACTCGATCGCCGTGATAATTTCAGTTTGTAATTTCCGCACGCAGTAACGTTTGTACATAAACAGATGTTGTGAATCGAAATGCCATTCTTGTCTTGAAACTTACAACCCTTTTCTCCCGCCGTTGATTTTCTCATGATTCTTAATCGTAAACTGGACAGTCCCCTTCTCTTTACACCGCGTTCAAAGAGATGTACAGTTTACAAATAATAAAGTAATGATATTCTTTCTGCTGATTTTGTGTCAAATAACAACCAACATGGCATCTATTTCGAGACCTGCGAAGAAAAGGAAAGTTTCTAATGAAGACAGAAACTTTAAATCAGATTGGTCTCTGAAGTATTTTCTTCATAGAAAAGAAAGGAAAACCACTTTGCCTCATTTGTCATCAGAGTGTGAATGTAATGAAGGTTAACAACAAAGCAAGACATCGCTGCATCTAGCATATTATGGAGAGTAGGGTGATCAAGGCTATAGAAAACAAAGACTTGACAAATTAGTGACCGGTCTGACTTGCTCAAACTGGTCCATCAAATGCAGCCCCAGAAATCACTCTAAAAAAGTAAGCCTGTTTTTTTTCACTGAATTTGTTGTTTGCTTGTTTGTATTTGCAAAATTGCACGTGTGTACACGTATTACATGAGTGTGTGGGTGGGGGTGGGGTGTTGGGGGGGAGACTACATACGGACCGCCACGTTATGCTAATCGTAAGCTGTGGCCCGCGAGCTTTAAAAGGTTGGCCACCCGTGCTTTAGGGCGACTATCCACCGGGACTGATGAACCCACTTGTCATGATAATGAATATGTATCAGATTATGCAAATGTGACACCTGTGACCTCACGAGGTCAGATCGCATGTGCGCGATGTATATGCGATACGCGTGACTTGATACCCAGTGCGGGGAATAAACACCAGACTATGGTTATGGAATTCAACTACTTTGTTAGTTTGTTTGCACTTAATATGTGACATTGGCGACGAGGATTAATGTTTCTTGGATGTTGAATCTGTGGCTACGAGCTGGAAAAGTTTCAACATGGCATTCGCTGGAGCGGAATTGTTAGCGCTTCGAGGAGTTCCACACTTCGATCCGACGGGTGGTGCAAGTATTGTCAGCGGCAAGTGGAAAGCTTGGCTTGGAGAGTTCGAAGCCTACGCCGATAGTCGCGGCCTGTTTCTGGACGGATGTACGCCGGCCCAGGAGGCTCAACGAAGAGCACTGTTGCTGTATACTGCGGGGCCCGTGGTAAGGGAGACTTTCAAAACACTTCCAAACAAAGGGGAGAGGAATGAGTATCAAAAAGCCACAGATGCCCTTTAATGCTCATTATGTTGTGAAACCTAATGCTACGTTTCAAAGACATTTGTTCAGGAAAACTAAGCAGGAAGATGGTGAAACGGTTGCCCAATTTGTTACCAAATTACGACAGGTTGCTATCGGATGCAATTTCGTAGCTGGAGATGTAGAAAACCAAATTCTTGACCAAGTAGTTCAGTACTGCAGAGCTGATAAACTTCGCAGGAGAATGCTGGAGAAAGGAGGTGAGCTCAAGTTAAATGATGCATTGTCCATGGCTGCTGCTCTAGAAGCTGTTGAAGGTCAATTTAACTCCATGTCATTGAGAGAGAGAGAGAGAGAGAGAGAGAGAGAAAGGCCTAGAGCTGGTGGGCAAGTTCAAGTGAATCAGGTATCATATGAGAATGACAGAAAAAAGAATTTGGAATGCTACAGATGTGGGAACAAAGGACATTTTGGGAAGGATGCATCATGTCCAGCCAAAGGAAAGATTTGTCGGAAATGTGGAGGCCAAAACCACTTTGCGACGATGTGCAAAAGTATAAGGCCAAAAGCACAAGTGAGGCGAGAGGAAAATTCAGAGATGGGAAGTCCAGAGATGGAAAGAAGTATAAGAATAGAGTTCGCCAAGTGGAAGGTGAACCCGGAAATGATAGTGATGATGACAACAGCCGTGGGCGTGATCAGAGGTACTATCAGTTTGCCGTGAATGATGGTGATCATGAGAAGGTCCCAATAATCATTGGAGGTGTCACGGTCCCAGTGATAGTAGATTCGGGAAGTGATTGCAATGTAATAGATCAGATATTGTGGGAGAAACTGAAGAAGGACAAAATTATCTGCAAATCTGCTAAGAGTACCAAGAGGCTTTATCCATACACATCACAGATACCATTGACGACCGTTGGATGTTTTACAGCCACAGTAGAAGTGGGCAAGATGAAGTCTACTGCAGAGTTTGTTGTTATCAAGGAAAACGGAGAACCTTTACTTATTATAGCAAGCGGACATCTAGAGAGCTGGGAGTGCTCCATGTGGGAGTTGTAAATGCAGTACAGAGCTATGCAGACCTAAAGCATGAATTTGAAGCAGTCTTCAAAGGAGTAGGGAAGTTGAAGGGCCGACAAGTGCAGTTAGCAGTGGATGAAACGGTGAAGCCAGTGGCCCAGCCTGTGCGAAGGACCCCATTTGGACTGAGAAAGAAGGTCGAGATGAAGATCGCAGAACTGATCGATCTCGACATTATCGAGCCAGTTGAACACTCCACGCCATGGGTAAGCCCAGTTGTCATTGTTCCCAAGCGAAATGACGAAATAAGACTGTGTATCGATATGCAGAGAGTGAACAAAGCAATCGTAAGAGAACGTCACCCCATTCCCACTATTGAGGAAGTCCTACAGGAGTTGTCGATTAGCAAGGTCTTTTCGAAAATAGACCTGAAGTGGGGGTACCACCAACTGGAGTTACATCCGGAGTCTAGAGAGGTGACAACCTTTGTCACTCATTGTGGGTTGTTCCGCTATAAGAGACTGTTGTTCGGAATCAATGCTGCTCCAGAGATTTATCAATATGAGATACACAGGGTGATAGCTGGTATAGAAGGAGCTGCAAACATATCAGATGACATCATTGTGCATGCATCGACCCAGAAAGAGCATGACAAGAGGTTGAAGCAGGTGCTTGGCAGACTGCGGGACGCAGGACTTACTGCAAATGCAGAAAAGTGTAAGTTTGGTGTCTCTAAGTTGGACTTCATGGGGCACAGACTGTCTAGCGAAGGACTCAACCCAGGATTGGCCAAGGTGAAAGCAATCGCAGAGGCCCGTGAACCCCAGAATGCAACTGAGATGAGAAGTTTCTTGGGGCTAGTCAACTACTGCGCCAAGTTCATTCCGAACTTTGCTACATTGGCAGATCCACTGAGAAAGCTGACCAGAAAGGACACGCCATTTCAATTTGGTCATGAACAACAACAAGCGTTTAAGGCGCTGAAGGAAAGCTTAATGAGTGCAGAGACCCTGGGCTACTATGATCTAAATGCACCGACAAAGGTCATAGCGGATGCCAGTCCAGTTGGCTTAGGAGCAGTGCTGGTGCAGGTGCATGCTGATGGCCCGAGGATAGTAGCGTATGCCAGCCGCTCGTTAAGTAACGTTGAAAGGAGATACTCTCAGACGGAGAAAGAAGCCCTTGGACTTGTGTGGGCTTGTGAGAAATTCCATGCGTACCTGTATGGAATAGAGTTTGATCTAGTCACTGATCACAAACCGCTTGAAGTCATTTATTCACCGAGATCTAAGCCATGTGCGAGAATAGAGCGGTGGGTTCTGAGGCTTCAACAGTACAAGTACAGGGTAGTCCACATTGCAGGAAAGTCCAACATTGCAGATCCATTGTCAAGATTGCTGAAGGATGATCAACCGAGAGAAACTTCTGTGTTGGAAACAGAAGCAGAGAGCTTTGTGCGCTTTGTGGCAGTCCAAACAACGCCAGGGGCGGTGACAACGAAGGAAGTCGAAAGAGAATCTGAACATGATCCTGAACTCGAAGTTATCAGAGAGTGTATTCACAGTGGACAATGGGATGATTGTCCATACAAAGCATACATTCCCATCAAGGATGAACTCTGTATAATTGGTCAGTGTGTGCTGAGAGGTAGCAGATTGGTGATTCCACAGGCACAGAGGCCAAAGATGGTGTCATTAGCTCACGAAGGACACCTGGGCATTGTTGGCACCAAACAGAATTTGAGAACCAAGGTATGATGGCCAGGATGTGAGAAAGATGCAGAGAAATTCGTCAAGACTTGTCATGGTTGCCAAATCACAAGCAGGGGGAATCCACCAGAACCAATTCGAAGTACTATGTTGCCGACAGGACCTTGGGTGGATGTAGCTGTTGGTTTCCTAGGACCACTTCCGACAGGAGAATCTATACTTGTGGTAGTTGATTATTATAGCAGATACTACGAGTATGCAATCATGAAATCAACCACTGAAGAGAAGACAGTCAAAGCCCTGGCTGAAATCTTTGGCAGACATGGGTTACCTGTGACGTTATACTCAGACAATGGACCCCAGTTCATCTCAGAAGTTTTCGCAGAGTACATGAACATTACAGGAATTCACCACCATCGGGTGACTCCTAAATGGCCGCAAGCCAACGGCGAGGTCGAAAGACAGAACCAGAGTATAGTGAAAAGGCTTCGAATTGCACAGGCAGAAGGCAAGGATTGGAGAGAGGCTTTGCTGACTTAATACGTCGCAGTCTATCGGGCTAGTACTCATTCGACAACGGGGGAAAAGCCCGGCAGAAGTGTTGTTCGGGAGAAAGATCCGAACTAAACTACCACAAATCCAGGACATTAGTGAGGATCAGGAACTGAGAGACACAGACCTCCAAATGAAAAGTGGTGCAAAACACTATGCAGATCTGAAGAGGGGAGCCGTACGTTCTGACGTAGTGCCAGGAGATAAGGTGATAGTAAGACGTGATAAAAGAAGGAAACTAGACACGCCATACTTTAACCAGCCATACACAGTGACAGCAAGAACAGGCAGCATGGTAACTGTGAAGTCTCTTGAAGGAGTCATGTACAAAAGGAATGTATCAAGTGTAAAAAGATACATGTCCCGAGACACTCATAACGAAGCTGCCAATCCAGAGAGGACAGACGGCAATCCTGAGGCGGTGACCGGTGTTCCTGAAGGGTCGGACGGCAATCCTGAGGCGGTGACCAGTACTCCTGAGGCGGTGACCAGAGGTCCAGACTTAGAGGCAGCAAGTAACACATCAGGCGGTGACCAGACACATCAAGATGGTGACACTCAGGCAGAGACAACAAACACCAACGTTCCTATGGCAGCTAGTAGACCACAACGCCAGAGAAGATTCCCTAAGCGATATGATGATTTTGTGTGATTCCAGATCAATATGGTGGGGATGAGCTCTTTGTAAAATAGCGACAGTGATATCTGAAACTACATGTGCCAAGGAGAAATGTTTGGAAATCATTGGTTGAAGCCAAGTTGTGATTTAAAGGGTGTACGCCTTGCGCTGCCCATATTTGTGAAATCGACATGTTGGAGAAATCACCATGGAAACCAAGCGTACGAGGAAGTTGTGTTATGTGCTAAAATAATAAGTTTGATATATGTTTTAATATTACACATACATTAATCAATGCAAAAGGGTGTACGCCGAACGCTGCCCTTATTGTATGTGATAGGTGTTGCGAAAAACACAAGTTTGAGTTGGAGCATCGATCAGTTTTCAAAAATGGATTCAATCATCGAAGAGAGTATTTCCAGAAACTTCAGTTTCAGCTAGTCGTATGAACGCTTGGAGATAACAGATGATTTACACAAACTCAAAACTAGAACTTTCTCAAATAGTATCCAGTGAACAGTTGAACTTTTATTTGGACCCCAGACTGGATGCATAAAAGATATTGCATGAAAGATATTATATTGCATGTTATGTTTTATGTTGTTCAACAAAGTTGTTTGGAAGATAAAACATTTGGGAAAAGTTTATCGACCACATAAATTTGTTGTTTGTTAGAAGTTGTTCTTTAAAAAAGAAAAAAAAAGAAAAAAAAAGAAACAAAAAGAAACAAAAGCAAATGCACCAAAGCATGTTTATTTCAGTAATTGACATATGGCTGAAACACAAGAACAAAAGAAATATTACAAGAATTTTAAGTGAAACTATAGTGTAAAAATAGACCAGGATAAAGTTTCATTCTGGCAAAGGAGGGATGTCATGATAATGAATATGTATCAGATTATGCAAATGTGACACCTGTGACCTCACGAGGTCAGATCGCATGTGCGCGATGTATATGCGATACGCGTGACTTGATACCCAGTGCGGGGAATAAACACCAGACTATGGTTATGGAATTCAACTACTTTGTTAGTTTGTTTGCACTTAATATGTGACACCACTGAGGAAAGTCTTGGATAATAAATTATACACGTCGGGCATCTACGCCTTCAAATAAAATGTTTGAGGTCCTTTTTCTTCAGGTTGCTTTTTTTTGTTTGAAAAACGCCGTTCTAGGTCATCTCCTTTGGAATAATCCAAGAGAAAAGTGACAAAATAATGTTGATATTATAATTTAAATTCACATCAATTCTTGGTGTAGGCTCTTTTAGAGTGAGAAATGTCTAATGAGATATTTTCATGTTTTCCTAATACATTTAATAATCAAAGGATTTACATGGAGTTCTACTTCACACTCGAAGACTGACTGTGTGTGATGCATATAGCGATACATCTTTCAGGCTTGGAAAAGAAGGTATGTGAAAAGATATCAGATAAGAATCAAAATCATTACGCGAAAAATCATGGTGTTGAAACCCTTTGAAAAGCAATACATGTACTATGTATTGCATTGTTACTGCTTTAAAATCATCTAATAGAAGCTTTTATTTCAAGCTAACCAAATGAATACAAATTTCTTTGTTAAACAGATATATTGCATGACCATGTAGGTATTTTCCCTTTTCTCCTAATTAGGTTTACAAAATGTTCTTTAAAAAAAGAAATACAAATGACAGGAATTTCTCCTTAGATCACGCACAAAATAATCTTTTTTGCCTGAAAATATCTTATGTGCCTTTTCAAGCATTTTATAAAGAATTAATTCACTTTCATCTCCCGTCAGACATTAAATATAGTAGTACATATGAATGAAACGTTGAATTAGTTCATGTAAAGGCGGCTAACTTGAGGATGAACATGTACTCAAAGGTACAGGTAGGGAGTAGCTAGGATATTTGGAATAAAAATATGCCAGCCTTTGTGTACCTGTAGCAATTACGAATGTTCAATATGAAGACACAAACCTGTACATGTTTGCATGATCATCATAGTAAAGGTGTTGTGGTCTAGTAGATATGGTACATATTGTTTGTGGATTTAAGTCCTATCGCGGCACTAATCTAAAGACATTAATCTAAAATTTGCCACTCTCCACTCAAGTGTGGTAAATGGAAACCCTACAGGAAGTTATTCTTTGCTCCAGTGCTTTAGGGTAGCTTGGCTAAAGCCAGGGTACTAATAGGACTTTATTGGCACCCTGAGCATCCCCTGGTATATACATATGGTTAATACTATTTGTATGATGATGATTTTTATAATTATTATCATTATTATTATCATTGTTATTATTATTATTATTATTATTATTATTATCACAATTATTATTGTTGTTTTTATAGTTTGTAGTTTTATAGATTGTATAACACGACTTAAGCTATCATGATGCCTACATGCATCAAGTCACACAATTACTTAAATCCTATTATTCCCTATGTGGTAGTGTCAATCTACAACATTCAGTAATTCAGTATGATATCCGGATAGATTTGATAAAGTCTTTTCATTTACAACATGTGCTCGATATGAACGATGGAGCCGTAATTAAGATCAGGATAAAGAGTAAAAGAAAATATTTTGAGTTGTCTTTTAACTCTTACAGTACTGATTTAGACACAGCCCACCCAGTATTTTAGAATACATTTCTCATAGTGATTTTTGAAATAGTCTTTCCAAATTGCCTTTAAAAATAAAGGTAACCATTTGTGTAAACATTTTCTGTGGAACGCAAGGTGTTTATCAACTAGGTAGAAGGATATGCTAGATAGATGTTATGATTGTGTTGTTCATTTTAATATCAATACCTCAACGCCAGATTCTTATCGGTTATTATATAATGCTGTCTGGTGTACTTTCCTGTGAATGGGGAGGCCACAACATGTTGTTGTTTAATTGTCTTTTATATTCAGGCGAGAAATTTGGGCAGAACTCTGTTCTGAGGGGTGATGCTGGACTGGAGCTACATGTAATCGAGTGGAAGAACACCGATGATGAGACTCATCTTGTGCTATCGGATCATCTCAATTACTTCCAAAATTTCATCTTCATACTGGCTCTATTGTGTCCGACAGTGAAGCATATCTCCATTGATTTCTGCGCGATAAATTTACATCAAGTTGCCCACAGTGCAATGTCTATGCCTATGCCTAAGCCTATGCCTATGAGATCGGTCATCACAGTTTGCTTGAATTTCAAGCATTGTTATGAAACATTCCTTGAGATATTATGGACTCTCAGTAATTTGTTTCCAAATGCAGAGAGTCTAGATATGCAAATGGGGAGTCTATCTCCAGCCAATCAAGCATACTTTCTAGAGGTCAATTCATCATCATCTTTAAGGGAGCTTAAATTAAGATATGATTATTCAAATTTTGTACCTACAGACGGCCTGTTAATGGATATTTCTTTGTCTTGTCCAAATATCGTATCACTGGTTTTATCAGGCTGTGTAGGATGGCTATTGAGAAAGTCAGGCAAACAAATTACATCATGCAAGATGCCACATCTGACCAACATCCATCTTGAACCATTTGGACCGACGGATGATTGCTACAGCTTTGAGACATTAATGAATGTATTACATGTAGTTCATGCGATAAGTCCACGTTTGAGGTTTGTTGAGACAGAGAAGGTGCAGCTAGGAGATGCAGAACTTACCTCTGTTAAGTGGTTCCAAACATCTTCAGGTTGTGAGCTACAACTTGGAGGTGCATCAGCAGCTGTACCCATGATTAACCTAATGCATCTTGTGTCAAATGAACTCAAAATAGTTACTCTCCTGACATTTGACAGGTGCAAGGTTGAGTTTCCTCGGAGAATCAGTCATCCACCGCATGGCACAGGGAAAAAGAGTTCACTTCGAGAACTCAAGTTCTTAAATGTTGAATGCCCGTTGTCTCAAACTGACATCCACAAACTTTCAGAGATGTATCCCAACGTAAAGATCACAGTTGAACATGAACGTCAGACATCACATGAAGACTCTGAGCAGGGTACGAAGATGCCTTTCAAGCCGCAGAGGAAGACCTTCCCATCCTCCCCAACTTCTTCAATAGGTGAGTTTTAATACATGTGTTTGTGTTTGTGACAGAGCAATAATGAATAAAGGCTTGTTCACATAAACCGGTACACAGCAGCAGTTTACCAAATTTTTGTTTCTTTTATCTGCACTTCACAGTTTTGTGCCTGGAACACATACCATAAATGAGATGCACAAGCTACTGTTCCATCCACACTCGCTATAATTAGTAGGATTTTTTTTTTTTTTTTTTTTTTGGGGGGGGGGGGGTAATGTTCAGATACTTAAAGGGCAATCGGATCCTTGTAATAAGTTCATTTGTATGAAAGCGGAAAATGAAATAAACAGAAGACAAATGTTTGAAATAATTCGGACAAATAATAAGAAAATTATTAATGTTAAAAATATGAGGTCACTAAAGTCTATGCGAATTTCAAATTAGTAGTTTATTCAGTGGATTGTGATGAAGGGTGAATATAGGGTCTAAGGCCAAATATACTTTTTTTAAAACATGTTTAGCGTCCTGCTTCTTTAAAGAATATGAAGGAGGAGGCCTTTTTTTTTTTAATTCAAAATGGCCGCTCAGTATATTTTTCCCTGACAGTCGGGCTATTTTTGAAGATGGCCGCCGGCATTTTTTTTTCAAATCATAAATAGATCCATTTTAGCAGTGTTTTTCCTGTTTTTTTTACTTAAAAAAAGAAGAAAAAAAAGAGGCGGCCCCAAAAGGGAAGCGGGCGGGGACACTAGACATGTTTTTTTTTTCGTCTTTTCAATGGCCTAATAATCATTTAATCATTAATAATTATAACCCTCGAATAATTATTAGACCTTATGGATATTAGGAGGCGCGATAGCTCAGTCGATAGAGCAGTGGTCTCGTAAACCGGTGACCCGGGTTCGAATCCAAGTCGATGCGCTAGTGCCCTTTGGTAAGGCATTAATCCTCATTACCAGGTCCCTCGGAAAGGACCTTAAGCCGTCGGGGACTGGTTGCTTATTTACAAGCATTTATTTATCCTTTCTAGCAGTCAGGTAAAAAAAAACATCATGACAGCCAAAATGGCAATCTGACCTACTGGATATTAGACTAAACTAGCAATAGACCAAATGGGATGTAGACTTATTTGAGATTTGACCAATTGGGTATTAGCCTATATTGTTATTATATTAAATGATGAGTTGACGAAATGATAATTAGACCATGTGGACAGTAGACGGGCTAGATTGAGACCATATGGGAAAAGACTTATTGGGTGTTAGACAGTTAGGCAATAAACAGTGACGTACGTAGTCACGAATAACACTTCATAACACTTCATGGGTGGTTGTCCGCCACTACATCACATAGACTTTACTGATGCAGTAAATTTGAAGAGCCTTTAATTACAACTTAAACAAATTATAATTTTCTTATTTTTTGTCCGATTTCGTTAGTTTGCTTCTCCGATTTGTCTGCTTTCATTTAGAGTTGTTTGCTTATTTTAAGGTTGGATGTCCGGATAACCAACTTGTCTGGACACTCAGTTGGTGGGTACTGTCATGATAATGAATATGTATCAGATTATGCAAATGTGACACCTGTGACCTCAGGAGGTCAGATCGCATGTGCGCGATGTATATGCGATACGCGTGACTTGATACCCAGTGCGGGGAATAAACACCAGACTATGGTTTATGGAACTCAACTACTTTGTTAGTTTGTTTGCACTTAATATGTGACATTGGCGACGAGGATTAATGTTTCTTGGATGTTGAATCTGTGGCTACGAGCTGGAAAAGTTTCAACATGGCATTCGCTGGAGCGGAATTGTTAGCGCTTCGAGGAGTTCCACACTTCGATCCGACGGGTGGTGCAAGTATTGTCAGCGGCAAGTGGAAAGCTTGGCTTGAAGAGTTCGAAGCCTACGCCGATAGTCGCGGCCTGTTTCTGGACGGATGTACGCCGGCCCAGGAGGCGCAACGAAGAGCACTGTTGCTGTACACTGCGGGGCCTGTGGTAAGGGAGACTTTCAAAACACTTCCCAATAAAGGAGAGAGGAATGAGTATCAAAAAGCCACAGATGCCCTAAATGCTCATTATGTTGTCAAACCTAATGCTACGTTTCAAAGACATTTGTTCAGGAAAACAAAGCAGGAAGATGGTGAAACGGTTGCCCAATTTGTTACCAAATTACGACAGGTTGCTATTGGATGCAATTTCGTAGCTGGGGATGTAGAAAACCAAATTCTTGACCAAGTAGTTCAGTACTGCAGAGCTGATAAACTTCGCAGGAGAATGCTGGAGAAAGGAGGTGAGCTCAAGTTAAATGATGCATTGTCCATGGCTGCTGCTCTAGAAGCTGTTGAAGGTCAATTTAACTCCATGTCATTGAGAGAGAGAGAAAGGCCTAGAGCTGGTGGACAAGTGAATCAAGTATCGTATGAGAATGACAGAAAAAAGAATTTGGAACGCTACCGATGTGGGAACAAAGGACATTTTGGGAAGGATGCATCATGTCCAGCCAAAGGAAAGATCTGTCGGAAATGTGGAGGCCAAAACCACTTTGCGACGATGTGCAAAAGTAAGGCCAAGAGCACAAGTGAGGCGAGAGGAAAATTCAGAGATGGGAAGTCCAGAGATGGAAAGAAGTATAAGAATAGAGTTCGCCAAGTGGAAGGTGAACCCGGACATGATAGTGATGATGACAACAGCCGTGGCCGTGATCAGAGGTACTATCAATTTGCTGTGAATGGTGATCATGAGAAAGTCCCAATAATCATTGGAGGTGTCACAGTCCCAGTGATAGTAGATTCGGGAAGTGATTGCAATGTAATAGATCAGATATTGTGGGAGAAACTGAAGAAGGACAAAATCATCTGCAAATCTACTAAGAGTACCAAGAGGCTTTATCCGTACACATCACAGATACCATTAACAACTGTTGGATGTTTCACAGCCACCGTAGAAGTTGGCAAGATGAAGTCGACTGCAGAGTTTGTTGTCATCAAAGAAAAGGGAGAACCTTTACTGAGCAAACATACGTCTAGAGAGCTGGGAGTGCTCCAGGTGGGAATTGTACATGTAAATGCGGTACAGAGCTATGCAGGTTTAAAGCATGAGTTTGAAGCAGTCTTCAAAGGGGTAGGGAAGTTGAAGGGCCGACAGGTGCGGTTAGCAGTGGATGAAACGGTGAAGCCAGTGGCCCAGCCTGTGCGAAGGACTCCATTTGGACTGAGAAAAAAGGTCGAGATGAAGATTGCGGAATTGATCGATCTCGACATCATTGAGCCAGTTAAACGCTCCACGCCATGGGTAAGCCCAGTTGTCATAGTTCCAAAGAGAAATGATGAAATCAGACTGTGTATCGATATGCGTAGAGTGAACGAAGCAATCATAAGAGAACGTCACCCCATTCCCACTATTGAGGAAGTCCTACAGGAGCTGTCGATTAGCAAGGTCTTTTCGAAAATAGACCTGAAGTGGGGGTACCACCAACTGGAGTTACATCCGGAGTCTAGAGAGGTGACAACCTTTGTCACTCATTGTGGGTTGTTCCGCTATAAGAGACTGTTGTTCGGAATCAATGCTGCTCCAGAGATTTATCAATATGAGATACACAGAGTGATAGCTGGGATAGAAGGAGCTGCGAACATATCAGATGACATCATTGTGCATGCATCGACCCAGAAAGAGCATGACAAGAGGTTGAAGCAGGTGCTTGGCAGACTGCGGGACGCAGGACTTACTGCAAATGCAGAAAAGTGTAAGTTTGGTGTCTCTGAGTTGGACTTCATGGGGCACAGACTGACTAGCAAGGGACTCAACCCAGGATTGGCCAAGGTGAAAGCAATTGCAGAGGCCCGTGAACCCCAGACTGCAACTGAGATGAGAAGTTTCTTGGGGCTAGTCAACTACTGCGCAAAGTTCATTCCGAACTTTGCTACATTGGCAGATCCACTGAGAAAGCTGACCAGAAAGGACACGCCATTTCAATTTGGTCATGAACAACAACAAGCGTTTAAGGCGCTGAAGGAAAGCTTAATGAGTGCAGAGACCCTGGGCTACTATGATCTAAATGCACCGACAAAGGTCATAGCGGATGCCAGTCCAGTTGGCTTAGGAGCAGTGCTGGTGCAGGTGCATGCTGATGGCCCGAGGATAGTAGCATATGCCAGCCGCTCGTTAAGTAACGTTGAAAGGAGATACTCTCAGACGGAGAAAGAAGCCCTTGGACTTGTGTGGGCTTGTGAAAGATTCCATGCGTACCTGTATGGAATAGAGTTTGATCTAGTGACTGATCACAAACCGCTTGAAGTCATTTATTCACCGAGATCTAAGCCATGTGCGAGAATAGAGCGGTGGGTTCTGAGGCTTCAACAGTACAAGTACAGGGTAGTCCACATCGCAGGAAAGTCCAACATAGCAGATCCATTGTCAAGATTGCTGAAGGATGATCAACCGAGAGAAACTTCTGTGTTGGAAACAGAAGCAGAGAGCTTTGTGCGTTTTGTGGCAGTCCAGTCAACGCCAGGTGCGGTGACAACGAAGGAAGTCGAAAGAGAATCTGAACATGATCCTGAACTCGAAGTTATCAGAGAGTGTATTCACAGTGGACAATGGGATGATTGTCCATACAAAGCATACATTCCCATCAAGGATGAACTCTGTATAATTGGTCAGTGTGTGCTGAGAGGTAGCAGATTGGTGATTCCACAGGCACAGAGGCCAAAGATGGTGTCATTAGCTCACGAAGGACACCTGGGCATTGTTGGCACCAAACAGAATTTGAGAACCAAGGTATGGTGGCCAGGATGTGAGAAAGATGCAGAGAAATTCGTCAAGACTTGTCATGGTTGCCAAATCACAAGCAGGGGTAATCCACCAGAACCAATTCGAAGTACTATGTTGCCAACAGGACCTTGGGTGGATGTAGCTGTTGATTTCCTAGGACCACTTCCGACAGGAGAATCTATACTTGTGGTAGTTGATTATTATAGCAGATACTACGAGTATGCAATCATGAAATCAACCACTGCAGAGAAGACAGTCAAAGCCCTGGCTGAAATCTTTGGCAGACATGGGTTACCTGTGACGTTATACTCAGACAATGGACCCCAGTTCATCTCGGAAGTTTTCGCAGAGTACATGAACATTACAGGAATTCACCACCATCGGGTGACTCCTAAATGGCCCCAAGCCAACGGCGAGGTCGAAAGACAGAACCAGAGTATAGTGAAAAGGCTTAGAATTGCACAGGCAGAAGGCAAGGATTGGAAAGAGGCCTTGCTGACTTACGTCGCAGTCTACCGGGCTAGTACTCATTCGACAACGGGAAAAAGCCCGGCAGAAGTGTTGTTCGGGAGAAAGATCCGAACTAAACTACCACAAATCCAGGACATTAGTGAGGATCAGGAACTCAGAGACAGGGACCTCCAAATGAAAAGTGGTGCAAAACACTATGCAGATCTGGAGAGGGGAGCCGTACATTCTGACATAGTGCCAGGAGATAAGGTGATAGTAAGACGTGATGAAAGGAGGAAACTAGACACGCCATACTTTAGCCAGCCATAAACAGTGACAGCAAGAACAGGAAGTATGGTAACTGTGAAATCACCTGACGGAGTCCTGTATAATAGGAATGTATCAAGTGTAAAAAGATACATGTCCCGAGACACTCATAACGAAGCTGCCAATCCAGAGAGGACAGACGGCAATCCTGAGGCGGTGACCGGTATTCCTGAAGGGTCGGACGGTAATCCTGAGGCGGAGACCAGTACTCCTGAGGCGGTGACCAGAGATCCAGACTTAGAGGCAGCGAGCAACACATCAGGCGGTGACCAGAGACATCAAGATGGTGATACCCAAGCAGAGACAACAAACACCAACGTTCCTATGGCAGCTAGTAGACCACAACGCCAGAGAAGATTCCCTAAGCGATATGATGATTTTGTGTGATTCCAGATCAATATGGTGGGGATGAGCTCTTTGTAAAATAGCGACAGTGATATCTGAAACTACATGTGCCAAGGAGAAATGTTTGGAAATCATTGGTTGAAGCCAATTTATGATTTAAAGGGTGTACGCCTTGCGCTGCCCATATTTGTGAAATCGACATGTTGGAGAAATCACCATGGAAACCAAGCGTACGAGGAAGTTGTGTTATGTGCTAAAATAATAAGTTCTGATATATATGTTCAATATTACACATACATTAATCAATGTAAAAGGGTGTACGCCGAACGCTGCCCTTATTGTATGTGATAGGTGTTGCGATCAACACAAGTTTGAGTTGGAGCATCGATCAGTTTTCAAAATGGATTCAATCATCGAAGAGAGTATTTCCAGAAACTTCAGTTTCAGCTAGTCGTATGAACGCTTGGAGATAACAGATGATTTACACGAACTCAAAACTAGAACTCAAATAGTATCCAGTGAACAGTTGAACTTTTATTTGGACCACAGACTACATGTAGATGCATGAAAGATATTATATTGCATGTTATGTTTTATGTTGTTCAACAAAGTTGTTTGGAAGATAAAACATTTGGGAAAAGTTTATCGACCAGATAAATTTGTTGTTTGTTAGAAGTTGTTCTTTTTAAAAAAAAAAAAAATTTTAAAAAGGAAGAAACAAAAGCAAATGCACCAAAGCATGTTTATTTCAGTAATTCACATATGGCTGAAACACAAGAACAAAAGAAATATTACAAGAATTTTCAGTGAAACTATAGTATAAAAATAGACCAGGATAAAGTTTCATTCTGGCAAAGGAGGGATGTCATGATAATGAATATGTATCAGATTATGCAAATGTGACACCTGTGACCTCAGGAGGTCAGATCGCATGTGCGCGATGTATATGCGATACGCGTGACTTGATACCCAGTGCGGGGAATAAACACCAGACTATGGTTTATGGAACTCAACTACTTTGTTAGTTTGTTTGCACTTAATATGTGACAGGTACCCAATAAAAAAACCACCGCAATCGACCTTGGCATATAAATGTACCGGAGTGTTGGCTCAGTCAGTAGAGCGTCATGGGTTTAAACCCCAGCCGCGTCATACCAAAAGACGTTAAAAGACGGGAGTTGGCTTTCAACAATAAGGGATAGAGCAACGTCGATCTGGCGCTGCTCAGTGGCTGCCGTGCTCACGATCAATTGGGCAAAAAGAATTTCCGTTTCGGTTTAATAAAATTTGGAGTGGACTATTAGGCTATTATTATTATTATTATTTAGTTGGGATATACAGGCAGACAATATTTGTACAAATTAATATTGAAGTATTAGTAGCAAATACCATGATTCATTCATAAACTTTGAAGATGTATGTCACACATCAAAATTTGAAATACAGATCTCACATCCGTATATAAATTACATGATTACATACAAATTACAAATACATTGTGTGTACTTTTTAAGTTGCTCTTTGTTTTATAAGAAAATAGAATTTGTAATCATTTTATTAGTAGCCTAAATGAAAAGGATCTATATTCTAAATCCGTTATTGACTGATTGTATCTGACAGAGGAGCTTATTGGAGCCACCGCAAGGGTCCAAGTGCATGAAGAACAGACGGACACCCAGGACACTGAGGAAGAAGGAAAGGAGGAGAAAGAAGAGGATCACATTGTCATGGAAAGCCTGCCTCATGAAACAGGTTAATGTTGTGGTTTGAACAATATCAGCAGAAATTAATTTTGGAGATAAGGAAATAAAATCAATGTCTCCCTGGAGATGTATGTTGTTTCATGTCCATTTCATTCACAGGCATGGCAGAGACACAAAACAAAGAATAAAGTATCGAAAATAATATCGCTAGTGATATTCGTTTGGTTGGTTGATTGGTTGAGCACCGTGTGCGTCGACCATTATGCCTTGTGCATTAGCCGAACCAGCGGCCGAACCAGCGGCCTACTGATTGGTCCAAATTATCGATCGAATTGTTGACCGCTGCGCCGTTCCTCCCGTAGAGTATAAAAGACGCTTGCTTACATTAGTTTTTATCACCTGACGAAGTGTTGCAGCGGCGCACGAAACGTCGTGATCTTTTAGATTCCTTATTGACCACATTGCGAGACAAACGAATATCACTAGCTATTATTTTCGATCATCCGTAATGAGTAATATATTTAGCATCATAGAATAAAGTATTTGAATACAGGTCGATGCTTAATGTATTAATGATTCGACGACATGAGAGCGAGAGTAGTACTAGCTCATGAATACATTATATACAAAATGTGGACACTTTGCAGTATCGTACAAAGATGTGCCTTAGTGAAAATAGGCCTTCGATGCGTGGTTTTAGCAGTGACATTGCATTAACCTACATTTAATATTTTGCTGGAATTACAATTATGTATTCTATTGTCTGCAGAGGGTTTGCAGAAAGGACTTAATGGAAATATCTCTTATGATTTTCATACTAGATGAAGTAAATGTCAAACCAATCAAGATAGAATGTTGTAAGAGAGTTGGAGCTGAAGGTGACAAACTTCAGCTAGATTCCTTCGGAATTGAACTTGAGATCCCTCCCGGTGCAATTGACAGCGAAGCGGCGCAGGACATTTCTCTTCGTGTCCTGACAGATGCTCCTAATCTTGGCAACAACAAAGAAGAGATGTCAGTCTGCTTTGGTGTACAATGTTTAGCCCCTGATGACTTAGTCCTTAAGTTACCAGTGACTTACACAATACCTCACTGTGCTGTGATTACACGATTCTCCAGTGTGGAGGCAGTCTTGTACTCTGGAGAGGGAGAATACTCACCCGGTAAGTTACATCTTTACATGTATCCACATTATGGATCAATGGTATTTCATGAATATCATTAAAGTCAAAAACTTTTTTGTACATATATGAAACGTCTAGCAATAATGGCCGAAACTTAATATTAAAATCTTGAGAAGACATTCTCTTGAAGTACATGCCCGACAACAGCGTAGCTGAAGGAGGTATGAGGAAAACTGCCCCAAAAATACATTCTGAAAAAGAAGAAAATAGGAAAGACAATTTGAAGGGGAAATGGAGCTTGACAAGAAAATGCTTCAATTTGCTCCGCCGCTTTTCCTGCCCCATATACTGTCCCTTCATCAGTAGCCATGTCAATTTGTATTTCATCCCCCTCTATGACAGGTGCCCCCCATGATGCACGTGCCCCTTCGATGTATAGACCTACTCTATGCCACTAATTCAATGCATACATGTAACACAAATATGTAGTAGCAACTGGGAGTAGTGACAAACAACAAAGTTATCATGGAACTGTGATGCTATTCTGAAAACTATGTTAGCATGAAAAGTTTGTTTTAACGTTCATGATCGGTGTTCTGAAAACATAGTTAAAGATAAAGATGAGCATTGTAAAAGAAAAGGTGTGGAATGGATCAGAAAAAGTTGATCATGTAGCATGTAAGTATTGGTGTGTACTGCAAAGTTCTGGAGTCATCAAAATCATGATACATTTGGCCCAGTATTGGTAAAGTAACAAGCACTGTACACAGAAAGACGTATATGGGACTACATAAATGGTGTCAGGTCTACTACCTTGATTTCCTAAACATTCAGTGTAAGTTTCGTTTGATTATGTGAGAATTCATTTTCTTTTTTTTTACCAGAACTCACCTTTATCTTTAAAGGGCCCATGACATCGAAATACAAGTGTATGCCTGTTGGTGTGCAGTCCTGCATACATGTCATTTTTTTATATGTAAACTTCTGAATTTGTTTCATATATTTTAAAATATTTGTTGAAATATTTGTTTTTCAAACTTGCTAAGCTCCACCCCAAAACCTCCAGATCTCATTCCCCTTGTGACATATTATGTCAGTCATCAATGAGCTAACTTGAGAAAGTGGCATGTAACTTTGCCAAAGTTGACCACCTGTTACAATACCACAAACAATGGCAACATATAAGTTGCTATGTCAGACATGTCAGACTAAAGGCCCGGTCCCACTGCACTTACGGATGCAAAGAGGATGTAAAACGTAACAAAATCTTGCCATCCGTTGGAAAACGCTATGCATCCGTTGTGTACTCATTGCATACGTGTTTCATAAGCTCTATCCATCGAGCATCCGTCCACTGTGATTTCATCCGCGCAAAAAGTTTTGAGCTGCACAAAACTTTTAGAACGGATGAACTTCCGCTGTGTACGATGTATATCCGCGACAAATACGAGCAATAAACGTTCTATGTCCGTTATCATCCGTTAAACGTCCGCTGTATCCTCTCTGCATCCTCTGGGCATCCTCGCAACTCACATCCGCTGCAGCTGAAAACGGAAAGAGGGAGGAAAGATAAGGTACATGGAACGTCTATACATCGTTAGTAGCACGGAAATAGAAAGGATGTAAGCGTATGCATCTCGTATATAAAGTATTCAAAGCTGTCATCCACTTCCATCCGCTTTCATGCGCTAGGCTTCCGATGAACATCCGTTTAACATCCCCGCTACATACTACCCACGTCCATTATTTTCCGTTCTGTTTTCGCAAATTTTCGCAAATTTTGTCTATTTCTGGAGCGGATGAAAACGGATGGAGCCACACCCAAAAGTTT